AAAAATTGAGGCTCGGGCTCGACTCGAGTAAAGCTTTCAACTGGACCAAGGCGGTTCTGACTTTTTTTGGGCCGAGCCACGGGTAGCTTGAGTCGGCGAGCAAAATCGACACCCCTAACTCGGATATTGAAAGCTCGGCCCAGCTCTTTCCAAGTTACGATAGAAGTGATAGGTTCATAGACGAAGATAGGAGGTAGCTCTGAGTTTTAGCCCATTTACTTTTTTTTATATATATAAAAAGACGTGATTTTTTTTCTTCTTCTATGTATTAGTTCAATGCGAAAAAAATAAATAATTGTCCTCTCCTTGTCCCGCTTCTCAGCAAGCAGTGTTGTGCTAATTCATTTCCACGACATGTCTCCAGTCGTAGGCTGGGTCGGCCACCTACAGTCCATTAGGCTAGACTAATTAGGGTTTAATTTGGACAAATTTCTTAAGATTATTTTGAGCCGTTCTTCGAAAAATCTCTCCCAAACAAAACGCTCAATCACTCTATAATAATTAACTACACTATGTTCAAAAGTAGGCATGGGTTTGTTTCGATGAAGGACCCTGCTACAATTACAGGGCAAAAACTTCACATAATTTTCCAGGCAAGACACAAACATGTGTGGTCCACTTTTTTAAATAATATTTAATTCATGTGGGGCCACACACCATGTGAGTATCTGTAAGAATTCTGATAGTGAATAGTTCTATACATGGAGGATAATTCTTCAATGAATCAGAACCAATTCAAAAATCAATATTTTTTTAATGCGATCATTTGGCTCCTTTTGAAGCATTTGGACCGAGTCGAGAGTAGAATTTTGATGAACTAAAAAAAAAGTAGGTTGAGTTTAGTAAGAAAAAAAATTGAAAATAAGTAAATTACTTCATTGGGTTATTAAGAAATATTTTTAAAAACTTCTCATAAAATAAAAAATAAAAAAATAGAAATGATTCTAGTGATCGGGTTCTTTTCTCTAGGGTCTAGAACGGGAACAAGTCAGTTCTAGGTTCCAAGAATCAAAAGCATTTAAAAACATACTCGGCCCCATTTTTTATTTATTTTTATCAAAATACATTCTTGAAGAGTGACTTGATCTCATTTCAACCACACATTTTTTAATAAATTAATATTACACATAAATTTACAATTTTTCTTATTTTTTAACCATACATTCTCTATCATAACACGATTACAAAATTCATTTTTTGAACAAAATGTGGCTCAAACAAGGTGTCAGAATTGAATTGAATCGAATCAATCAATTTAGTTTGATTATTATCCGTTCAATAGTTTCCTTTTTTAATCCACCCTTAATCAGAAATACTATCCAATATAATTGTGTAAATATTTCTTAGATTTATTATACACGTATATTTTTTTTTTGTAGAACGCGCATACCTTTGGGTCTATAGTTATTTTCTTTTTTTGACAACTCAAGGATCTAAATTTCGTCTGACTAATCTTGAGGAGTTGTGGCATTCTCCCTTGTTTGTCATCCGAGTAAATTGAATGCAATCACAATTTATACACACTTTGGCTGAACATTCGAGGAAGCGATTCTCCTCCTTGTGGATTTTCCTTTATGACGTGCAGATGGAACTTCTGGAAGGGTGACAAAGCGTACCACGACTTTGCCTTCCAACGTATATGTTGCATGCTAATTGTCTCAGGGATTCGAACATCTGATGCTCCGTAAATAAACCTTCCTTCTTTACAACTGCCTAATAGGGCAAGTCAAGCATGAGCCTTCTTGAAGGCTTGTGCAGCAATACCCTTTAAATTATAATTATTGGTCATATTGTAATTTGTATAAACAACGAACATTATCATGATTCATCTCTATTTTAGAACAAAATTTGTGATATTACAAAAAACGAAAAAACAATAATACGTTGGTGCAGAAATAAACTGTTGACCTCGATTTCTGCAAGGATGATGTAGTCAACAAATCCCAACTTTACCGACATTCACGCATATGGCTCCTGCATACTTGAACAAATCGTTAGAAGAACATGACCTTCTCTGAAATTTGGGAGGCAATTGCGAGCACTCCACCAATCGAGTTAGTCAACTTGTGTAAGTATATTTGGGTGTGAGATGGACGGAAGACGTGAGACTGTGTACATCATCGAGGTGGGAAGGAGGTTATAAGAGAACAAAGAGAGCAATATTTCTATGAATGTATAAAATTGCATTACATTCAATGAAAAAATTTTCAAAACACATTTTTGGTATTTTCAAAATCATTTTTCAAGATGCCAAAAAGAACACATTTCAACAATCTCAAAATGGACACTCAAAACACAAAACTCAAAATTCAAAATGAATTCAAAACTCAAAACACAAAAGTGAAACACAAAGAGAACAGCCTTTTAATGTTTTTGAAAACTAGTCATCATATATTATAGCCTAGATCTAACTTCTGAAAAGTACAATGACAGGTTGACTGAGAGGTTTTTTTGTTGTAGAGTTGTTAAATCAATCAATCGTAGAAAAGATCTTGTACAAAGGATTTCTTGGAACATATGAAGCAAGAGACGCCTTCTGATATTAAGAAGTTAATCGCTTCGGATCAAATCCACAGAAGGTTATAGCACCTAACCTAGGTCGTGGGGGGTCGGACTTTACATGAAACCTCGATTGTGGTCATCCATCACTTCAACTACTTCAATCTATGATCTCGACCAAACCATTTAGGATACGGCGTGGAGTACGGCCCTGAATGAATTTGCTAGTTAGATGCCACATGATTGATGCCTGAGGTCTCGTCGATTGAGGCGTAACACAAATATTACTAGATTGGAAAGTAGTTGTCTACATGTGATTGAGTCTATCTCTCGTGTATATTTTCTTATGTTTTTGTAGTGTCTTGTGCGGATGACAAATCACAAGTTAGTTAGATTATATCGAGTTTAATTTAATTAAAGAAAGTAGTATTATTGACCAGCAACGCTTAACTTAGCGGTCATCGGTGATGTGACCATAACTAATTTGCTATTTCAAATCTCATATTTGAGATGAAAAATCGATAAAGAGTCATCTAATTGTCACACATGGCTTTATGAGATGATGAATAACATCACAATATAGTTCCTGGTTTTCTACTGTAATCATAGAATAAGATAGGAACAAAATTGGATTGGATTCCTTAATCAGCGAAGAAGGTGGGGTGCGTGGGTGGGTGGGTTGGGGTTCTATAATGATGATTATTTTTAAAAACAGCTTGGTATCGTGTAGAAAAATAAATAGTTTGTTCGAGAATTTTATTAATGAACATCTTCTCGTAAATTAAAACGTGCCAATCTAATTTCAAAAATAAAAATGTCACAATTTTGATTTTTTTTTTTCAAATATTCTTCTTTAACGTCCTGTTTGATTGCAACGAATTCCATGAAAAATGTCACATTGGAAAAAAAAACGATTTTCATTTTCACGTTACAATCAAACGGTTAAAGTGGAATTCGTTTTTCTCGAATGCTACATTTTTAAGAAAATGTGGCAATCAAACATGCCTTCATTGTTTAATCTTTATTAATTAAATCGTTCTCTTTTTCGTGTTCATGACTTTTGCTACGATCGCTATACTATCTAACTCATTGATAAGGTTAATTAAATACATATTTGTGAAAAAATGGAAGTATAAAAATAAAACAAAAATGGATTGTTTCAATAGAATTAAAAAACCATTTCCACTTGCACATTATATCGGGACGTGTATGACATTACTCGTGGATGCGCGTGAACTAGTAATATCAGGTACGAGAATATGATATTGGGGAGACCCAAAAGGTCAAAAATAGGTCCCATTCATAACCATAAAATTCAGAGCCGTGAGTCAGAATCATAACGAATCATTTCTATTTTATCTCTTCCGTTGCTGACTTTCTTAAATACAAGAAAGAAATACATAGGTCAATTTTTAAGGCTTAAAATCGAATGTAACTATAAATTATTAAAATTGGATTTGATTTTCTTAAGGAGCTTATAATTAGGTTGAGCTTGAATTGTTTCTAGAGAGAATAAATTTATGGTTTAAGGTTAAAACTTATATAAGTTTGGTGCCCGTCTGTTAAATTTAAATCAGGTTAAACTTCATTTTTAATCACATATTAATTGAATTCATAATATTCATTTATCGTTAACTATTACGAAAATTGATTAAAATTATGAGTTAAAAAAATACAAATAAACATATAATTTGCAAATTTATAATTTCAAATAAGCTTTGTGAAAAATACATGTCAGTAAGACTATGTTTAATCTCAATTTTTTTTTTCAAAATATATTTTTCTTCTTATTATTTTCAATCACACATTTTTCAATAAAATAATATTATACGCAACTCAAAAAAATTTCTTCATTTTTAACTATATATATTCTTCACAAAATTACTATTTCAAAATACATTCTACAAAAAGAAAAAAAAAAAGGAAAAAAAGGAAAAGGGCTCAAAAGGTTCTAACTTCTAAATACATAAACAAGGGAAAGATGGCAAAACATTCCAAGCCTATGTTTAGGCTACATTATTTTTTTCATTCTAATTTTTCTACTCATTTTCAACCACACATGTTTCAATAAAATAATATTTTTCATCACATTAATAATTTTTTCTTCTTTTTTAACCACATATTTTCCATCACATCATTTCAAAAAAATACATTCTTTCATTTTAACGTGTACCAAACCGGCTTCAAGTAATGAAAAGCTAGTAGAGAGGGAAAGGATAACAATGAGAATGATTATAATATATCTAAACCCTGCAAAGCCAGACTCCTCCCCTGACTTTAACTCCAGGCAAAGCGAACCTCCCTCATTTCCTCTCCACTCACTAAAACATCCTCTCTTCTCTCACTAAAATTATACACTCCAGTATTTAATTGTATATTTGTTCCAAAAACTAGTATAATATACGGCCACTACTTTCTACCTGTACACGCTTTTTCGCCATTTTTATGCCTTCATCTTCCTAGTTTGCCTATTCATCGTCTTATAAGAAAGAAGATAAGAAATGGGGGTTGTTAGGGTTCTCTCCCTCTTTCTTTCTCTATATGTGCTTCTTCTCATCGATGTATCCACTGCCCAGATGCCAGGTTTCTCTCTCTACGTGTTTTTGTTTTTTCTTGTGATATTTTTTTTGTATCATTTACTGTTATGGGTGTTAATTTTTTTGTCTTTGGGGGTTATTTTGCTTCATAATATCGTTGAAAATGTCTTTGAGATGGTACTTGTACTTGTTCATAAATAAGATTTTTTATTATTTTTAGAAATCTTTTTAGTTCTAGTTATATGTGAAATCTCTGTTGTAGTTGGTAATGGAGACAAACGAGTGGACAGAAAAGACCAGAAGAGATAATATTTTAGGATTAAAGGAGATGAGAATCTGCAGACTATAAAAATGAAGTGTGCATATAATAAATAAGCATTAGGTACTATGTATTAATCGTATTTAATTCGAACACATGATTAGGATTTACTGATTTGGGACCAATATTTGCCGCATTTAAGTTATATGCTGACAAATTGAAGCTCTTGATTTTACCATTTGATTTCAAATACTTCTAAAGGTACTAGCTTCCTTCCCGACGGGACAATGAAATCAAATTCTTTAGTGGTTAATTGTTAATGATATACTTCAATTTCTATATGATATTCAAGAAATGGGCTAGAAATGAAGGAGCATGGATTTTTTTGTTTGGGGGATCTTGCATTGAGGCACAGCAAAAGATGACCATACCATAGATTGAATCATCTTTTGCCATAAAATGATCTTTACACTTATCAAAGGTCCAGATTTTTTATTTTGCTTTATTGGCTTGTTTGGATGGGTTTTGATCCTGTTTTGGTCATCTCTTCTAAAAAGTTTTAGAAAGCATTACCGAATAAAGAGCCGTCAATGCTCCTTTCTAATCCTCTCTTGCTCGATAAATTGTGAACAATTCAACGTGTCTTACTGTCTCATATGTGGTTATCACCTCAGGAAAAAGATTGTCGGGTGCTGTTTAACATTGTAGGCCCTTTTATATACTCATAAATGTTTTTTCAAGGTTAGATCAAGCTGCAGGGAACAATGTAAACTGAATGATATGATAATCTTATTTTTGCAATTATACACTGCCGATAATTTGACCATATGATGCAGGTTTTGTGAGTCTGGACTGTGGAGGTAAGAATAACTTTACTGATGAACTAGGTCTTGAATGGACCCCAGATAATCAGATGATCAAAGGAGAAACAGCAAACATATCTGTGGCAAATGAAACGAGAACACAATATAGGACTGTGAGATATTTCCCAGCTGATAACAATAAGTATTGCTACACACTCAGTGTTATTAGCAGGACCAGGTACCTTGTAAGAGCGACTTTCTTGTATGGTGACTTCGATAAGAATGAAGTATATCCAAAGTTCGACATTTCCCTCGGACCAACTCATTGGGCTACAATTGTCATTTCCGATGCTAATACGATGGAGTCTCAAGAGTTAATATTTCTGGCCAAGGATCCCACCATCAGCATTTGTTTGTCCAATGCTACAACTGGACAACCTTTTATATCTACCCTCGAGCTTCGGCAATTTAATGGTTCCGTCTATATGAACCAATTTGAGAACGAGTTCTTCCTTAGTGTATCAGCAAGAATAAACTTTGGTGCAGAAAGTGATGCTCCAGTCAGGTATGCGTTAAATTTTATACATTGAAAGTAAAAGTGAAAAGACGATCTAGATTTTTTTTGTTAAGCATTACTTGATGATTGTGTCCTATCACTTTTATGCAACTCTTCTTGAATCCTGGCCTTGATTGGAGAAACATTTTCTCCTCACAGGTTTCCGGACGACCCATTTGATAGAATATGGGAGTCTGACTCTGTAAAGAAAGCCAACTACCTAGTTGATGTTGCTTCTGGAACTGAAAAAATATCTACCAACAAGCCAATTGATGTTAGCAATAACGAAAGACCGCCTCAGAAGGTGATGCAGACGGCTGTAGTTGGCAGAGATGGATTATTGACATACCGATTGAACCTGGATGGTTTTCCAGGTTTTGGCTGGGCATTCTCCTATTTTGCAGAAATTGAAGATTTGAGTAGAAGTGATATTAGAAAATTTAGGTTGTTACTGCCTGGAGCGCCCGATCTCAGCATGGCAGCCGTAAATATCCAAGAGAACGCCCAAGGAAATTATCGTCTATACGAGCCAGGATATGACAACATATCTCTCCCATTTGTGCTGTCATTTAAATTTGGGAAGACATCTGATTCTACTATGGGCCCTCTCTTGAATGCTATGGAAATAAACAAGTATCTGAAAAGGACTGATGGCTCTCTAGATGGTGAGAACCAACTGTGATTCCTTTAGGACACGTGCTAATAATTGTAGTATGTCCTCCTGTTGCCAATATCTTGAATATTAACGGTAGTTGCTGTGGTTATACAATCGTCGTGTGTTTGGTACTCAGTATTGGACTTTTCATTTGGTCCAATGAGCATTGATTCTGCAGGGACCCCTGATACAAGTTCACTTGATTTTCAGGACCAGTTATTGCGGCTGTAGCCTCTGCTTATTCATGGGCGGAGTGGGCAAAAGAAGGTGGTGACCCATGCCTTCCAATTCCATGGTCTTGGGTTAAATGTAATTCAGATCCCCAACCGAGGATAGTATCAATGTAAAGCTCTTCTTCTTTCTTCTCATAACCTTGTACCTGTTTTGTGCCATGATGATTGTTGAGTACAAAAATATGTTATATACACATGTATAATTGCTGCTTTCGGTATTACAATCCTAGAACTTACCTAAAGATATGTGTGATTAACTTGTAAGTTTTTCTTGGTGGCGTGTTTAATGCTCTGGCAGTAAATTGTCTGGGAAGAATTTGACTGGGGGAATTCCTTCGGCTTTGACGAAGTTGAGCAGTTTAGTGGAGTTGTAAGCTTCAATCTCCACAATTGGTTATTTGGTTCAAGAGGTCTTTTTCTTGTCCTTGTATCAAATGATATGACCTGTAAATGATCAACATATATGTCTTGTCATTGCAGATGGCTTGATGAGAATTCACTGTCTGGTTCAATTCCTGATTTTTCTGGATGCTCAAACTTGAAAAAATTGTAATTATTGAAATCTCATTTCCCATTTAGTTTTTTGTGGATCTTTTTTTGTATAATCAATTATTTTTCCTGTCACAGACATCTTGAAAATAATCAATTGACTGGAGAGCTACCTTCCTCCTTGGCAGATCTACCACATTTGAATGAATTGTAAGTTTGCAGATCCTCAATTTGTCCATTATTCACACTTCCTGCAAGATTCCTTGGCATTTTAGTGTATTCATTCTTTGACAAAATACTTTTAGTAGCTGAGGCAAGTCATCTTTTTCAGAAAGTGTTTCTCTCTTTCTACTAATAAGTATTTTCAAGTAAATATAATTCTTGTCACATAAGCTGCTTAATTCACCTACACTATCATCATTGATGCACAATGGAGTCACGTTCTTTTGTTGCCTTGTCTATTGTGTTGGACCTGCATTCTCGCATTTAGCTATAAATTCGAATGCTCATTCTCTCTTTAATTGACTATCGATGCAGGTATGTTCAGAACAATATGTTGTCTGGAAGAGTGCCATCTGGACTTCTTGATAATGATCTGATTTTAAAGTGAGTATCTATTGCTATTAGGTAACGGCATGAGATAATTTTTGTCATTATTAGGTGTGGAGCAGATTGCATGCTTTCATCATCTGTAGTATTTTCTTAATCCACTGAAATTATTTATATTTTTGTATAATTTGCTCCCTTTTGGGCACTGTCTTTCACAAGAATGAAAGGAAAGCAATTTGACATATCCACTATGTTAGAATGATAACATAATCACATAAAGGATAGAAATCAAATGTTTGCTGGAGGATAACCAGTGGTTGCAAATTTGAGTCTGTTGGGGGGTGGGCGGTTGTGTAACTTGAAGAGATTTTCTTGGGTAAGTAAACAAAGCAACTTAACTTACTAAAATGGTTAAAGCTGATATCTTTGTGCGCCGAATTTTAGGCATTAACCTAGTTCTACAGCCTACATGTAATGAAGTTCGGTAAACTTCTGGTTTTATGAGTAAAGTTTTCTTCAGGTACTTTCATAGATGAATAAATGATTTGTCATAAATTATACTGCTTCAGCTCTTAGAAGTTCATGGTCACATTTTATGTCTTGCGTGCTTCTTTCCTTGAGGACAGATGCAACATGGATCAGATATTGTATGATCATGCTGGCTATAATACTTCTGTGTTTCCCATAATTTTGGCAAAATTATCTGTTTTGAACATTTGTGGTATGAAAGGCTTTTTACGCCGTTAATAATTTATCGAGAGAGGAAATGAATAAAAAAGAGTTTGACCTGATGACGGTGGATAACAACATCACGTTGCAGTGCACAATTGTGATTACTTCAACTCTGTCTCTGCATCAAATTATTTTGACGTAGAATCACCTTTATGGCATATTTGGAGAGATTAAGATATCTCTGAGTAGTGTTACAAAAGAAAAAAATTTAGAAATCTTATTCATGGTACTGGTACTGAACACTAAACATGCATAGATGCACTTAGATTATTAATGCTACATTTCTTGGTTGATGCGTACCGGCTTTCGAGTTTTTTTCAAATGCACCTTGTCTTCCTCTTACCAAATTTCTCTTCCATGGATTTGGTGTCAGCTTTACAGGAAACACAAATCTTCGCAAAGGGGACAGCGGAGGGCACCGCAAGAAAATTATTATAGGATCATCAGTAGGTGCTGCAGTTCTGCTCATTGTTACTATTACCTCTTGCATCCTACTGCCCAAGGGAAAAAAGATGACTCGTAAACGAGGTCGGATACAAGGTTCTTTACCAATTTTTCAATGCGAATTAAAAAAATTAGGTGGATTGACATTTGTATTTTTAAATATATCTCTTAGATAAACTGCTCGGTCCTTCCTTCGATGGTGCGGGCACAGAAGCTGCACATTACTTCACATTATCTGAGCTTGAAGATGCCACAAATAACTTCGAGAGAAAAGTTGGCTCGGGAGGCTTTGGAATTGTTTATTATGGGAAATTGAAAAACGGAAATGAAATTGCAGTCAAAGTTCTGACTAATGATTCCTTCCAGGGAAAACGAGAATTTTCAAATGAGGTACTTTCTCATTATTTTGAGTACCTTTGCTATTATTTGGTGGATGTTCAACCCTTTCTTTCAAGTCCTGATTTGTAGTTTTAAACAATTTTCTTCCAAAGACAGTTTCCTGATCCTCTGAATTCTTGGCATTAGTTCGGTTAATCAATTGAAACACATCTTCTTACGAAGTCCTGATTATCATGAAATTCAAAACTGCGTTGTTTTAAGCTCCAATTTCGTAGAACTGTTTTTGTCAGATTAACAGATTGCATTTTCCAGATTCGGACTCACATCAATATGTTCCATTTTGTTTGGGAATTTCAAAGTTAGAGCAGATTTGTTATGACATTTTTAACCAGCTATTCCATTCGGTCGGTACAAAGAGAGACAAATTAATTCCTAGACTCAATTTGCCACAAGCTAAATACGGATTTGCTATTATTTTAATTCAACAACAATAAAACATTAGTATAATTAAAACAGCATTACGTAATAGTGTAATAGTTGAAGTATTGTACAAGATTTGATATTCGCAATGAAATAGTTACTAAAATAAAACCAAGGTATCTATTTTGTCTACCATGGTTTAGATTCTCAAGTAGCTTGTCGTTTATCTCTGGGTTCCTAATGAATTATTTAGGGGACTAATGTACCTATTCTTTCCATAGTATTATGAAATTTTACTTTCTGAATGTGCTGCACCTACTTCTGAGAGAGATGATGTTGATTTTGTATGGAGGTAGTACAAACCTTTTATTTCCTAACATGGATTGATACTTGTTGCATATTGTGTATTAACTAATTAGCAAGGTGGCTCTTATTTCCTAGGTGGCTCTTCTTTCAAGGATCCATCACAGAAATCTATTACATTTTCTTGGATATTGCCAGGATGGAAAAGATATTCTTGTATACGAGTTCATGCATAATGGGACACTAAAGGAACACCTATATGGTAAGTTATTTCTTTTAAATAAAGACAAATAGATTGAATCTTTGATTAATTTTAAAATTGCTCTTCTAGGGCCTTTGACACGCGAAAGAGGTATTAGTTGGATCAAGCGCCTTGAGATTGCTGATGATGCTGCAAAAGGTTGGTGAACAAGTATCAAATCATTTGGCCAGAGGAGTAAAAAACTTCTTTATGTCAACGAAATTAATCAGATTGGTCCTTTTTGTGGTAAAATAAAAGAATTTGTTCAGACTGTTATTCCATGTCTTATGCAGGAATTGAGTACCTTCATACTGGTTGTGTTCCATCAATCATCCACCGGGATTTGAAAACAAGTAATATCCTTCTTGACAAGAACATGAGAGCTAAGGTTTCAGATTTTGGTCTTTCAAAACTTGCAGTAGATGGAGCTTCCCATGTCTCAAGCATAGTTCGAGGAACTGTCGGTTATCTGGATCCTGAGTGAGTCTTTCTTTTCTTTGTCCTAGACGTCCAGCATTGTTTCTCAATGGCCATTAGAAGATCAGAGCATTTTGGCTAAGCTTAAAAGTTCACTTATTGGTATATAAGTATGTTTCAAAATAATTATACTCCAGTTTTTGGTATATGCGTTCCAGGAATGTCCAATTCCCTTTAATCGTACTACCACTTGTCTGAACGGGAGGAAGGTTGTGTATCGCTAGATTCCAATCCTAGTATCTGGTTGTCTAATGCCGAACCCTATTTATTTGCTTGATTGTACATGGGCTCCTAGGAAGCGAAGTCATAGTATGCAATAACTATTTTATAGGTCAAAGTCGGAATAAGTTACTTATTTTGACATTACGACGAGAGTTAGTTTCAAAATAAAATGCTTTTTTTACTCAGAAGTAAGAAAAAGTAACATATCCAAATAATGTTTAGAGACAGAAAGTTACTTGTAATCTTAGCCAAACATGCTCTACATTTTTTATGTTTTCAACATGTTGTCGATGTTTATTTATATTTCATGCTTGCTTTAGAACTGTTCGTGGATTCCCCTGGCACACTGGCTGGCCTATATCTGTGTCTTGTATGAATGAACTGTAAGAATACAGGTTTAAAACATCGTTTCATAATGGAATTTGTGAAAGATTTAGACATTCTGCACAAAACACCATCGGATCCCAAAATATCATTACACGATTCTTGTTTATCAATGGAGATGAACACTTGGTTATTGATTCGTAAAAAAACCTCTATTTCAGGCCAAAATTTTCCGATTGTGCCCAGTGACATCTATTTGAAAATTAACTTTTAACAGACCATCTGGGAGTCTTTCTGCTTCAACTACAACTTCAGAACAAACTTAAATTTGAAATCCGTCATTTCATTTTGAATAAGAAATCTTAATAGAGTCACCAATAGGAGCCAACTTTCAAATTGGAACCAAACGTGCTACAGGTAATTTGTCTATCAATTTTTAAATGTTATTCATGTTGCTTAGAATTAGCAGCAATTGTCATATTATATATTTTTGCCATCAAATCATCCTCGTACTCTCTGAGTAAATCCCTTCCAATCAAATAACTACATCTTATCAGATTACTCAATATGATACCATATGAGCAATCTGTACTGACGGAGAAATCTGGTTTATTGAGATCCAATGTTAATGTTACTTATGGATGCTTCAATTTTTGCTCTCTAATGATAAGAAAATATGGCTGTTAGCCTACATGAACTGTTGAAAGTTAATTTTATGTTTTCATATAGTTACCAACAATTATGACTTTCTACCCTTCCATGTCATGTAGGTATTATATCTCCCAGCAGTTAACGGATAAAAGCGATGTCTACAGCTTCGGGGTCATTCTCCTTGAGCTAATATCTGGTCAAGAAGCAATTTCTAATGTAAACTTTGGAGTTAATTGCCGTAATATCGTCCAATGGGTAAGATTAGACAGAAAAGGTTCCGAATTATGTTAGCACGTCTATAAATTTGATGTTATTCATGGGTTGGTATCCTAGCTGTAGCTGCACAAGAAGCTGTTACCACCTATCTGTTTGTTGACATTCTGCTTTTTGTTATGTCGTTATATATGCATAGATTAAAGGGAAAAACAAACATGCACCAAATTTTCTTTATATTTTTAACTCATGTTCGGTTTCTAGATTTAACCAGAAAATTGATTATGATCTGTGGAATCATGAACCGTTCAACGTACACATTAAAATCTTAACATCTATTCAAGAACCGGCGTTGTTAACATTTTGCATTTACTGACATTATGGCAGGCGAAGTTACACATCGAGAGCGGGGACATACAGGGAATCATCGACCCCACATTACGCGAATATGACATCCAGTCTATATGGAAAATAGCCGAGAAGGCAATGATGTGCATTCAACCTCACGGTAGCATGAGGCCATCAATGTCTGAAGTTATCAAGGAGATTCAAGATGCCATTGCAATTGAAAGAGGAGCAGCCGCTAAACAAGGTAGTTCGGATGAGATCTCTAGGCATTCCGTTCATTCGTATCTGAATATGGGATCACTCGAACTCAGTGCCAGTGAGCATTATCTGGCTATTGATGAGTCTATCACGCAGCCAGCTGCTCGGTAAAACTTCCGTTTGGATCCTGTAGTTTTTTGTTGTTATTTATTTGATTGATAGGGTGAGAGATTTTGTGAATTTCATTGTGTTATGGTAGAAGTAAGATCTTTTGGTGACATGGAAACTGTAAATACTGAGCTTCTTGGTTGAGTACATATTTGTAACTATTCAGAAATAATTCTCTAATTATTGTCCTAATCTGAACTTTTTTGGAAAGTCAATGTGCCCATCTGCCCTTTGTTGGTTTTCCTTTTTATTGGGCCCAACTTGATACGCGTTGCTGAACTCCTTAACTAATTGGGCCTGTACTTGGGTAAATTGTAGAGGAAATTACACTCACACCTAAAATAGATTTTCAATTTCAAAAATCCAATAACAAGTTCAACATTTCAAAAATCAGGTTTATTTAATAATTTAAAAATATTTTTTATTTTTATTTTTAAATCTATATCTACAAACCCTAATCATTTGATTCATTTCAACCCTTTCTTCCACTCCAACCTCTCCTCCCACCGCCTCATCCTCCTCCCGTCTATTTGCTCACGCCACCGTCACCGTCACAACCGTCGACTTCTTCCTCCTCCTTCTCTCTTCAACTCTTCCTCTCTCCGTCTCTACGGCTGATGCGGCTAGATCCGTTGGCTATCTCTGCGTAGCAATTGGCGGCAGCGTCGACGCTGCTGCTACTGCAGTTTGCAGCAGCGCTGCCGTTCGCGACGCAGCTGCTACAGTTTGCAGCAGCGGCAACGTCGACGCTGCCCAGTTCGCGGCAGTGTCGATTTGTCGTTTGCGATGCAGCACGCAGCAGATTCGTTGGAGGTTTTTATCGCAGCAGATCCGTCGCGAACGGTAGTGGTGATGTAGTTTTTGATGGTTTTATCGCAGATACGGCGGTGGTGGTGGTTGTTGTGGGGTTGGATGCGTCAGTGGTGGTTTTGTGTGGTGTTGATAATGGTTGCCATGAGGTGGTGACGGTTTTGTGGTGGGGGCCGCCAGTAGTCGTGTTCGGTGGTGGTGTTGTG